CAAAGGAGAAGTGCTCACTAACACAGATTTAGACAGATTTGTGAACAATATTTGAGAGAAATAGGCCTTTTGTGTACATAGAAAAAGTCTTAGATCTTTGAGTTCAGCTCATGAAAAATGGGGGCAAAAACAAAAGTGTTGTGTTTACAATTTTGTTCAGTGTATTTTAATTACTTATCATTATCATGTAATTATTTAAATATACTGCCACTCCTAATTTCTGTAATTAAAAATTTTGAAAGGTAGCATTTCCCCCCCCCCGTTTTTTCTGTATTTTTAAAGGCACAACATATCCTGTGTTGAACAGTCCCTTAGGCTTTTTTTGTTTTGTCTCTAATGCATAATAAACCGATTTTGTGTGTGGATAGGGCATGACCATGCTTTAAATTTTAGTTAAATCAAAATTTTAAATGAGCGCACACCTAATATTCTCACTACATTACCATTGTGCTGTAAAGTATTCCATAATAATTCAATCTCGGCATCACTGAATTCATAACCCAGTAAAACTTGAATTCAAAATTTGAATTCAGAACCTAGTAAGACCTCAACCCCCACGATATTGGTTTGCAACCCTCCTTGAATGACTTAGCAGCTTTATCCCACCAAATAGGGAAAAAGTGTTTAGGGACAGTACTAGTGGCTCAACATCCTTCGAACCTCACCAGTAAATGGGAGGATACCCCTCCTCCAGCTTTGGTTCATTCATAATATGGACTGTAAAAAAGGCTGAAGAATTATTAATAGAGCTTGGGCCTCCCACTGCCTCATCTCCCATCACACCGTGCAAATCTGAATACAAATGTGCAACTGAGGGGCTCCTCTGCTGGGCCCAGTGATCCGCAAATAAGAGTGCCCAGACATGCCCCAACTTCCCATTTGCCAAATAATGTTTGCCTGATGAGATAGATGCCGGCCGCGGCCTGCGTGTGATTCCTTGGGAAAACGTTTGTAATTTTCACTGATGATTTTCATAATGAAATAGATATTTATGTGGGCGCTCATTGAAGCGTGACTGCTGTGTGAAGCTCTCTTTGATTCACAATTTCTTTCCTCCCTCAACCCCACAGCATCTTTACTCCTTCTGATGATATCACAACATAAAATAAGACAAATCCCACCTGAGCTGATAAAAACTCCATAGTGGAGTGCCCTCCGCATGGATTTGACACAACGACGCACAAACTCTGAGTCCTGGTGCTTTGTTTCGGCAACAGGAGCAGAGGAGAATTCAGTTTCTAAATTCAGTTTCATCCATGCTTCATCTGTCCGTGATGATTTGAAGATGTACGTCGGGAGCTTCTGGATTTATTTAGCATCGTACGAAGGATTCCTCGCTTCACCCATCAGGAACAAAGAGGATATCTGATAAGATCCTCAGAGAAAACATAAAATTTCCTCACGCCTAAGCAATACAGAGGAAGAGTATCCCGCTGCTCGGACAGGTGGCTGTGCTGACTCCTACAATAATCCCTCTGTTTTAATATTGCAGGCATTTGCCTGCTCTCTGGGCGACTGTCTGTGGCCCACTTGTGGCCAGACGGCCTTGCAAACTGTACATTAACCTTTTGTGCCAGTGTGGTGACCTGGCCTGAACTCTTGTCGCCCCTGTCTCTGTTCAGCCGCTCAGCCAGAACAGAGTCTGACAGCGATGGCCACTGCTCCTGAACTCCGCCCACACCTCTGCTGGGTCACGCCACAACTCGTAGCTCTCTGCTACACTGCAGAAGCATATTTACAACTATCGTTGGTTCTTCTTGTGCCTGTCTCTCACTTGTGTTGTAAAATATGCAGTAAGTGGCACTGAGGCAAACTGATTGTATATAATGTATTTGGGTGTGGCAATAGCTGACTGTGGCAGTGCTCGCACTGCAATAAAGCATTTTCTTAATTAGTGTTTTTGTCTCTTTTTCCAGTGCAAATATTTAAACATTCTTAAAACAAGATAAATTTACTTGAAGCATAAGAATTATTTTCAGACAGTATATCTTTGGACTAAATAAATAAATACATGGAAATATTTTAAGATTATAGCAATAGTGTAAGAAAAATACTCATAGTAATAAACATGAATGCAAGGATGCATTAAATTGATCAAAAGTGATAGTAAAGATGTATACACTGTTACAAATGATTTCTATTTCAAATAAAATAAAATTCTTCTGAACTTTCTATTAATCAAATCCTGAAAAAAAACATGTATTATGGTTTTCACAAAATATTAAACAGCACACTTTTTTCAACATTGATAATAATAAGAAATATTTCTTGAGCTCCAAATCAGCTTTTAGAATGATTTCTGAAGGATCATGAGACCCTTGACTGGAGTAATGACTGCTTGAAAATTCAGCTTTTAAAACCCAGACATAACAGGAATAAATTACATTTTAAAATATATTAAAATAGAAAACACATTTTAAACTGTAATAATATTTCACAATATTTCTTTTTTACTTTTTTACTTTCTTTTTTTACTCTTTTTTTTATCAAATAAATGCAGCCTTGATGAGCATAAGTAACCTTATAAAAGCTTACTGACCCCAAACTGTTGAACAGTAGTGTATAAATTAAATATATATTCTCTGAATACATACCTTAATGTTTTTTTTATTGATTTATTTTTCTTCTCAAGTAAATGTATCTTTTTTTTAGAATGCTCAGATATTTTAACTGAAAACCAAGATTAAACAATCTGATTAAGATTTTTTTTGAATAGCTCATTAAATGGCCAAATAACCAAAATATTAATAGTATTGTAAAGTGACTGTGGTTGTCAGGATGTCGTCGTGTCACATTATTGGTTTTATCGGTACGACAACTTGCACAAACACACATTGATATTGTTTACATGGAAATCCATCTCGCAGAGTATGATGGTCTTGTTGAAGAACATACTATATTAGTATTTTATATTATACTTGAGGACAACCTTGGTGTTACTATAAAGAAATGTAAATAAACAGCTGTGTTTGAACAAAAGACGCAATCAGGCCACTAGAATGCTGTTGTCACCACGACTCTGCCAGAGGGTGTCCATAGTCAATAGTTCTTGTAATGTCACATTTTCCTATTGTAGCTACTGATTTTGGGTATTTTGTATGGGGCTGTCTACTGTAAAAATTGCAATTTCACAGCGAAAGTATTTATGTAATTTTATTTTGTTGTATATTTCGCTGTAAATCTTATATAAGACTAGAGAGTGTGAAAGTGGGTAGGCATGAGTGTTATGGTCTGTGTGGGTCTGTTTCTATATGTGCGCATGTCTGTCACGTGTATGCAAATCTCGTGTGAGTGTTAGTTTGGAGAATTTTTTTGTATTTATTGTACATATATTTAATTCCGAGATTGTGCTAGTGGCCTTTTGATCCTCTGATAGTTATAAACTGAGCCTGTAATTTGTGGAGATTTTATAGGCAGACTTTTTAATTCTTTCATGTGTGATCATTTAAACAACATTGCTGAATTGTCAATAATATATATGAACATGTTTTCAGCCTTATAAAGATGTATATTCATTTGTCTAATATCTATATTCTCAGATAGTGTGTGAAAAAGTATATTTGTATTTTAAAAACATGTATAATACATATTTAATTCACAACTGTGTCAGTGGCCTCCGATAAAAGACCTCTTGACAACATGTATTACTGTGGTATTTGGTCCAGTCGGTCTATTTCAGTGGATGTGCTTCTGTTGGGCCTATACCGAGCTGTATACCCATTCTTCAATAAACCATCATAAATCCTGCTTGATATATCTGTCTAAACTTTAGCTCTGTCAGTACTGTGAAGACGTGTGAAGTTGTGACCTTTTCCTCTGACCAGCCTGAAAGGGGAGTACAGCTCTATCAATTTGCCACGCACACACACACACACTGTCAGAGGAAGCAGCTCTGTGTTCTCATATTTTTCTTTCAAGAGTAGCGATGCTCTGGATGGACTATTCCTGGTTCTTAATATGTATGCAAATCCAAAGCTAATAATACTATCCCGATCACTTTTTTTTTACGCTGGTATAAATCATGCCTGAGCAAAAGAGTGATTTTAAACCAAAACACACCAGTCGCTTTTGTCTTCCTCATTCAATTCTAAGTAGTTTAAACTGAGTGCGAATAACATCTGTCCTTAAAAGCGATAAATGTGCAGACAATAGGTTTCCAGTGAAATTAGCTTTTTCTTTCCCCCTCAAGGGACAGTTTTTTCCTTGCAGGATATTGTCTGTGGTCTTTTAAACTCAGTGGGTGAACAAATGCTCTCAGTGGCTGTCACCATTAATGAATGTATCCCGCTCATTCTTTTGCATGCTATGGAAATGGCCCTTTAATCACAAATCACACACTTTAGCTGATTAATGCTCCAGGCAAGTGCCGGAGAGGTCAGCATGTGCAAATTGTGTGTGAATGTATCACTGGGATTATTGATGGATGCTTTTTAATCTATTGTTCTCGACGTGCCAGCATTGTTGCACATTTTTGATTGAATGTGTCTTCGTTTCAGACTCGCATGGTAATTACTGCTTGCAAATATTGTAGATAATTGCTTGTTTTATCAACAAAATGAGAATTTAAATGAATCATTTTCTCGAGTACAAAGCAAAATTCATGCTTATATTTTGGTGTCATTGGGTTGCTTTGAAAAGAAAATGCCCTGTCCGTGCTATTGTTTTTTTGTTTTGTTTTTTGTTAATAGCTTAGGGGAATAAAAACCGATTTTAACTATTTGCATTTTCATCTGATCTGATTCAAACTCAATTTTTCCTTTTATAGAAAAGCCACACATTTTTCAAAGGCAGGGACTATATCTGAAACCTCACAAAGGAGAAACGAAGCCTATTTCAATATGATATTATACTGTAGCTTTAACTTGCTAGCTTTAAAAATGAATAATTACACATTAGTGCCTTTCTCATCATTATGAAGATTGGTCCCAGCATGGAATCATCTATTAGTTACTGTTTTTTTCCCTTTCCAGCCTTTTTATGGAAGCCAATCAAACACACTAAACATAATAGATATCATTCCATTCAAGAGGGCCCTTAAGACCAGCAGTTTCACTGCAGTGTTCTTTCAGCATTACCATGTAGATATGTGTGAATCTGGGGCTTTTGAAACTTCCTGAGTGACTTCCTGGATGATTTAGGTCCGAGTACAGGAGATGTTTTAATAGACAAGCAAGACTCAGGGATAGAGAGCTTACCCTGAAAACAGACCTTCTGCAAAATGAACACAAATACACACTAGTGTTCTCTCGCACAAACTATTATATGCAGCAGCCCGTCTGTCATAATCCATATCCTGCTACAGAACGTTCTTCAGCTGCAGGGTCAAGCCCATGCACCCCTGCGGACTAGTTTCACTGTTGTTCATGGGAAAGTTGTGTAGTATCCAGCAGCTTCTCAAGCAAGCTTCTGTTAAAGGCACTGTTGAAATGTTCTGAATCATCATTAATGTGATAGCTAAAAATGTTCAGGATTTAAAAATATTCACAGTGTATGCATACACAATTAGAATTTGTATGATTTGCATATCCTGCCATTCATAAACCAACCTTTCTGTTTTGTAGCCTTTTCTGCTGAAATAAAATAATTATAAAATATTCTTATTTAATAAAAAAAAAATGTTGTACTGTTTTGATTTGTTGTATTGCATTGTGGCTTTGTGCTTTTTTGTTTGACTTGTTTTTTTTGTCTTGTGGTTTATTTTATTTTTTTATTGTTTCATTTAGATGTGATTTTGCTTTTTTTTTGTTAATTTCTTCTCTAATTTTTTGTTACTTGTTCATGTTATCTTAGGCTTGAATTATTTTTTTCATGCTCACAGACACCACATTGGACTCTGCCTTCAACCTAAGCATTAATATTTAACTTTAACGTCATATCTTTTGTGGTTTTAGATGACATGACTTCAGCCTCACAGTAATATGTAACCTATTCTATTAGATGCTGAAATCACTGTGGTGAATCATTCAGATGATTCAGTCATGTTTCTTAAAACAGCCCATAATTTGATATCTACCCCATCCAGAAAAATAACTATTCCATCATCTATACTATTCCATCATCTATTCCATCTATTGACGTCTGGTAACCAGTGATGAAATGTGAAACTAGTAATTTCCATATTTTATTTTAAGATTCATAAGCTACAGTTGTGGATTTGTGGCACATCTGTTCTATGTATGAGGCGGGGGTAACTTAGTGAATAATAATCTGACCTGATAACTAGTATGTTTTTTCCATCAAGGAAATAATGGCCATTGACAGAGGCCTTGAAAAGCAGTTTGACCTGCTCCTGTGTATAGAGAAGAAAATTACAGATGAAATAAGTTCTATTGAAAATTTTTGTGCCACAGTTGAAAGCCTCGGGTGATTTAGCACGACACGTGACAACCCTGGTGTCCTAGTTCAGAACGTAACCACCCTCCAGCCTGACATTGAGGGTTAGCATGTACAGGACAGCCTCAATCACCGCTGCCGCTTTCATTCTCTAGAGAGGATGTGCACTATGTACTAGCCTTTCTGATTGCCTAACAATCAATACATTGCAGTGTTAACCACAAAGCAACAGGCTGTTTTTACGTCATTCAAACCAATTATCTTTGAAAGTACATTCTCTCTAAAATGGTCGAACAAGAATGGATAATAAGAGGTTACCATCACCTCCACACAGGACTCACAATATTTGTCCATCTTCATTAGATGGAGACTGTGGGTTCTGTCTTTTAAAAAAGGGGTCATATGATGAGATTTCAATTTTTCCTTTCTCTTTGGAGTGTTACAAGCTCTTGGTGCATAAAGAAGATCTGTAAAGTTGCAAAGACTAAAGTTTAAAATCCAAAGAGATATTCTTTATAAAAGTTAAGAGTCAGCCAAAGTAGTTTCGCCTAAAATGGCTCATAAACATATTTCATTACACCAAATACACAAAATAATGTTCTTTTTACCAACATCATATGACCCCTTTAAGTGGCAGGTGAAGGTGACCTGGTGGTCATCTAAGGTCAGTTTCTTTCCTAGTACTCTATTGTTCCTTCTCCAGGAAGCTGGTTTATTGGTGTTCAGTTGAGGTAACAGTAAAAGAAATTAAACAAAAAGTTAATGTGATTTGCAAACATGCTGTCTAGTTAC